TCCATAAACTTCACTGAAAACTACAACTCTAAACATTACTTGCTAATATTCCACCCCCAGGATTTGTTTTATTGCTTTTCCCGGCAATAGCTTTAATTTCTTTAAACATTACTATTAGGACTGCCTGCAGATTTCCCATATGTCTCCCACATATGCCCCATATGTTACCTACACATGTAAATCCCCAACTAGTTTCTATGTGATGCTCTCCTGATTGTACAGCCACAGGTGAACAGTGGGTTTTTTTAAACTGAATTTCAATCTTTTAATTGAAGCCCCCATGTAACTGCTTCCCTACAACAATTTCCTCCCCCAAATCCTTTCTGATCTTTGCTTTCCTTGCCATGATAACCCATTATGTACTCCTGAACACAGATACCTAATTTTATACCCAGATGAATGAAACTTTGCCATACAAGCTGAACTTAATAGAAACAAACAGCTGAAACTGTTCCATACAGCTGCTCAGTTGTTTATTACAATTCTTTGGCATCTGTATGATCCACAACTGATTTATAGGTATATAAATATCTATAACTATATACTGTCTATAGAAGAAAGCATATATTTACACACACACTTCATACTTTGATGAAAATACTGAGGGCCAAGCAGCCATCAGTCCCTGTACACCTGATTAGACACGTCTATTGATTTTGTTATGACTGCACCAGCTTAATCCACCTACTATGTAATTTATTGATTCGGATTTCTCAATGACACATGGCTTACGAAAACTAGTACTTAAGTCAAATATACCTTACATGAAGGAAGCCCATTGTTTTATTGCTGACCAGAGCCTATCTAACTACAGGCTGCTGGTAGGAGAGGCAGCCCTGCCCTCTTTGCAGCTTCTTCTCTGCATCCCTCTTCCTCAATACAAAAAACCATTTTTTTCCTGGTAGGATTAGCTTTCAGCTCATCCCATAGCTACACAGTTGCTGGAGTCAACACAAGGGAGGACCCAGAAAGTGAAGCCAGGGACTACAAAGAGAAAAAAGAAACAGCATTCAGTTTTTAAACTGATCTAAAATGGCCCTACAATTTCAGTCAACTATAAAACCACTGCCTTGCTACATACAGATATAGGGAGTTACTTTATCAATTGATCAATCAGATGTTCCCACAGTGAGCTCTGCTATCCATAAACTTCAGTCTTGCCTCCACCACCACTGATGGAAAAAACCACTGTCTTCAACTGGATTAATTTAACACTTTGATTTATCCACTGCAAAAACCAGGTTTGAACATTCCATATTGTTTTACAAAGCTCAGGAATACTCTGGCTTTTTCTAAATAAAGTATATTTTGCAATAAATTATTAGCCTTACAACAAAATAAATTATTAGCATTACAACCAGAGTTTCTATGGTCTGGTAAAACAGCAGCACTTTCTCCTTCAACACTATAACTTCACAGTACAGTCTCACCTTTGTACTGTGAGGGCTGAATAGACAGTAAGGCAGCAAGAGAGAAGAGAGAGGAGCAGCTCAGGAGATGCTGATTCATTTTCCACCAGTGCTTTTATTTCTCTAATCAGCAAATCCTGCAGGAAAGCTGGAAGCAGTAAGGAGGAGGAAAAATAAATCCAACAACTCCTCAGGCCTACATCTGATTCTGTACCAGCAAAATTCTTCCAGCTCATTCCAGTTTTATCCATGGGATATTTATTACCCGTTCTTCCAGCCCAGTGTAACTGTGCTTTGTGGCTATGGAAGTATCTTCACTTGTTAACAATTCTGAGACAAACACTACCTGCAACACATGAACTAAATCAACTTCTGCACTGAACCTTTACTCAACATATGCTAATGCTCACAGAGTTTTGTGGACTTCAAACGTTATGGCCTCAGCTGTCATTGATCTCCTAAGTGAAAGCAGTCAAATGTAGCTATTTTAACATTAGAAGATTCACATATTAGAACATAAAATATTTACTGAAAACAATGGTCATTTCTCAGTTTCCTGAAGAATGAAAGATCAACACAATTCAACAATAGGGTGAAAGAAATCATAGCATGTTCTGACTGACAGTGGAGTGTATTTACAAATCCACATATTCAACATAACACTGAGAAAAATCACACTAGGAATGGAAAGGGACGACTGCATTTGCAGCTTTTGTAGAGCTTGAATGTACTCAGGATAGGACCAGATCCTGGTAAATCCTGCGGTAAATATGCAAGAGTCAAAGAAGTTTTCCTTACACTTCTTGGACATTGTTATTACAAGCTGTTAAGATAAATTTCGCAGAAAACTAGTGCAATTCTGGAATTTAGCTAATTTAAATTATACTGCCTATATTTTAATCAAAAACAAGGATTTACACCTCCTGCTAGAAGTATCATCAGAAGCCATGACACCTGGATTTTAAAAATTATTTGCAACAAACAGCCAAACCTTTGCTAAAGAATAAACTTTTTAAATAAATGTATAACACAGATACACTGTAAACTAAATAAAAACTTACTAGAAGTATGCCACTGCTGTGGTTTTTCTCTGTTGTGGAACCCAGACCTAAATAAACTGTTAAACACTTAGTGTAAAGGTATGCCAAACATTTCTCAGAACTTTCTTAAGGTCTCAACAAAGAGTCAACCTTTTTTGCAAAATGAGGCCTAGGTTAAATATTTTATTTGGCTCCTCAAGATGGACTGAGAAGTTGGGCACTAGCTCCAGATCAGTTCTTGGACTCACATCAAACATTACCCTGTCATTTATCCAGTCAGTCAAAACAATGTTTTCCATCTAAACCTTTAATGTTTATGTCCTGAAAAACTGCTAATTGAATCCAGTTCTTGAAATCTATTTTTTAATCTATACCATTTAATTTAGAGATACTGAACAGAAAAGATAAGCGTTGAACAATGATTGCAGAATTAATCCCATAAACATTCAAGCCAAAACAGAAGACTGCTAGTTTCATAGAGCCAAAGAAAATTAAGATTAAATAGCATTTGTCAGTTTGAGAATAAACTTTTAGAAACACTGGATATACAGATTCTTTTAATTCCAAACAGTTTTAGAACTCAAGAGCCCCCAAACTGCTTTTCCAATCAAAAAGAATAATCAAAACCACACAGAACACTTACAACTATTCCTAGGCAAGAACTGACAACATGTCAGCTGAATTAATAAAATTCATTGTTTTCCTTAAACATGTAAAGCTTCCTTACAACAAATGACCTTAGGTGAAACAACTCCCCATTAGCTAAAGCAGAAAATACCTCAAGCTGTTCAGCTGGAGACACAGGCCAATGTTTCCTATAAGCTTCCAATAATGGAACTGGTACTCAGTGCCTGCCAGAGCTGTTAGCCCTGGAACAGTCCTAAAAAGATACTTTTGCCTTCATCCCATACTCTGCACTTTCCCTTCCCAAAATACAAGATGCCCAAAAAACACAAAAACATTCCTTAGGGTTGTACCTGCTGCATTTGGGGGCTGACCACAGTGCGTAAAACCACAGCGTGCTTCTGGTCACAATCACACTCCCCTCACCACACTGAGATTGTCACAGGCACAGTTTCATTATATGCTTATTCCTCAATAAAAATAAAATATGAAATGAATTTGAACACAAAACACAGAGGTGAGAAAGACAAGTCCCTAGACAGTATTTTCCATTATTTTAAATAAGGTTACAGACCATTTTTTATGTTTCAAAGATCAGCAAGTCTGAGCACTCACTGCTCAGGGAAAGAAAGTATTAAAGCACTGCATCAATACAGCAATAACCTGAGGAGAAAGCTACAAAACACTCAGTAAAAACAAGGCAGCACTGTTCCATGCAGCAGTCCCAGCTACGCTCATTTTAGGAGTTTTATTTCCAAGTGTAATATAGAGACACTCACGAATCTCCATGAAAACTAGATAACAAATCTAGTCCAAGTTATTCCAAAGTAAAACAGAAGCAGATACATTTTACTTTTTCTGTGAAAATAACATACTTGGAAAGATCAGTATGAAAACACCTCTCTTTATTAGGTATTAAACTGGAGATATTTCTCACACATCTTAAGTAAATATAACAACTCTTCTAATATTTAAAAAAATATTTCTTTTGCAAGCTGCTTAGAAACACTATATAAAGGTGGATATTTACAGTGAAAAGCTATACTCTTCTAATTGCTTACCTTTGTGTACTGATGCTTCAGGACACACAGTGTCATTTATGTGCTGGAGGACTTAACAATACTTTGAAGAAAAGAGCTAGATTCAAGTGTCCTGAATTTTTTTAAAGAAAGCTCAAGCAGAATTTCCAGTATTTTTTTTCCTCTAAACCTGTTTACGTGGGGTTTTATATGGAAAAGGGCATAATTTTAAGTATTTAAGACCAGATTCTTTTCCTTCCCAGCATGCAGGTGAACCGTTTTTATGGTACTTTAAAATATCAGAGGTCAAGTGGTCTGGAGTAGGGCAGGACAAGGCAGTTCACCCAAGAACTGTGAACAATCACAGAATATGCTGAGTTGGAGGGGACCCACCAGGATGATCGAGTCCAGCTCCTGGCCCTGCACAGGACACCCCAAAATCCCTCCCTGTCCCTGAGGATGTTGACCAAAGGCTCCCTGAGCTCTGCCAGCCTTGGGGCTCTGAGCACTGCCCTGGGAGCCTCTCCAGTGCCCAACAGCCTTAGCCGAGGAAATCGCTTAAAAACCCCAACAAAACAACAACAATAAACAAACAACGAGATCGAAACAAAAAGCGTGGCAGTTTCTTTCGAGTTTACACCGAGAAGACGAAGGGAAAATACACTGCAAGGCTGGGGCGCGGTGGCTGAAGTTCCCCCAGGCGGCTGCGGGGCCCGGGCCGGGCGGGCGGCGGAGCCCGGACACGCCGAGCCCGGGGCCGAGGGGAACGGACGGCAGGGAAACCTCGCCCTCCCCTTCCCTGCGAGGCCCGAGGGGCCGCTCCGGCCCCAGGCTCAGCCCCAACGACACCCGGAGGAGCCGCTGCCGCCCCCCGCCCGGGCTGGCCCGCGGCCCCGGCCCAGCCTCACCTGTCAGCCGCAGCTTGACGGGCCCGTTCCGCCGGGCCCCCGGGTTGGACATGGCCCCGGCCGCGGCACCCCGCCGCCGCTCCGCAAGGGCTCGGGGGAGGCGCGAATGGAGCCGGGCCGGGCGCTCAGGGCAGCGGCGGCCGCCGAAGGAGGAGGAGAAGGAGAGGCCCGGATGTGCCCAGCGTCGCCATGAGCGGGGCCGGGGCCGCGGAGGAGGAGCGGAGCCTTCCCCGCTTCCCTCCGCTTCCCTCCGCTTCCCCGCCCCCGGGCCCGAGCACAACAAAGCCGGGACGGAGCCGCACGGACGGGCGGGCTGGCGGCGAGCTCGGCTCCTCTGCTCTCCCTCCGTCCCTCCCTCCTGCCCCGGGGAGGCCCTGCCCGCCCCCCGCGCCCCGCCTCGGGTCAGCCTCGGGGGAACGGCGGCAGGTGGCGGCGGCGGCCGGGCGCTGCTGGCCGGGAGGCCGGCGGGATGGCC